CTAACTTTAATATCTTATATTGATAGCTGATAATTCTAATACCAGAGGTCTTTGCTGGCCTGGTTCTGGTCATCTGCTGCTTGTAGTCATTCACTGGGTCTTGCTCTCCGTGGTTTTTTATTGTGAGCATGTGTTTCAGGATTCCTTAGCTTTTGGAATTTTTTGAAGCCTGACTTGGAGGTTTTTCTCTTTCCCTCCCCAGAGATATTTTGGCTTAGTTTCTGCAAGTCGTGTAGAGACACTTTAAGGTGTGTAGAGACCCTTTAAACACAGGAAACAAGTTCTTGGCTTGAGACCTTTCCAATGAAATGAAAGTGTGATTGGAGCCAGAACTTCTTAAACTTTTGTTTTAAATTTGAGGGAGATGGTTCCCCAAAGTCTCTATCCTCTGAGGGGATAAAGGTCAATGCAGAAAACATGCTTTTTCTAGTTTTTCTATTCTAGTAAGGGTCTAAAGATTTGGGGATAGGCCACAGCTTTATGTACGCATCTCCTCATGCCTTGTAAGCCTTTTGTACTCTGTCACAGACACTTTCATAGTGTATAATTAAGATGAATTACTATGGACACAGAATACCATTTGGGAGTTACCGTGAGAGTTTCTAAACACCCCATTTCTGTACATATCTCTGGGCCAGCACTAGTGTGTGTGTACTGATCTGCAAAGCCACTTTGAGTAGAACAGCCCTATCATCCTTCCCACCTGGGACCTAAGCTTTATCTCTTGTCCCACACCCCACAAGGTCACCAAAGAGGAAATTCAAGGACTACTGAAGTGAGCAGATGTGTCAAAGTGCTGGGTGGGCTGGATCTCTGTTATCTAGGGATTCCTGGTATGACATCACCTTCAACATGTAAGGACTCGTCTTCATTTCTGCTGAACCAGTGTGTTGAAATAGGTTCCTTCCCCAACAGTCAACTCTCCCACTGTTATCTGGAATGGATATACATTTGTTTCACTAAAAGATGTATGCAAGAGTGTTTTAAGCCACAGTCCTTAGAAATGAACAATATCCAAAACTTAAACATATTTCCAAAATGAAAACTCAAAACTATATTAATAATGAGTGGTGATTTTGTCTATGATATATATTCATAAAAATGAATAATCCTTTGCCATATGAAACAGCATGGATAGTCTCATAGCCATGATCTTTAAGCCAGATATGAAATAAAATATAATGTATAATTTCATTTAAATACAATTTAAAAACAGGGAAAAGAAAGATATTATCCCAAACACCCTGCTGAAGTCCACTCCATGACCTGGGGAAGAGTCATTGTTCAATTGGTGGTAGAAACTTTTGTCTCATGCTTTGTGGATGCAGCTTACCCAGGGCACTCCATGACACTGTGTAAAAATAATTTACTTCATGTGTTCTATCTGTGTCTATGTCTGTGTAACACGTGCATGCCTGGTATGGTCAGAGGCAAGAAGAGGTTGACAAATCTCCTAGGACAGATATGAGCATCATGTAGGTGCTAGAAACTGGACTCTGGTCCATCTGGAGGAGCAGTCAATGCTCTTAACCACTGAGCCATCTCTCCAGTTCAAATGAATAGGTTGCATTTTATACTCATGTTTCTTTTACATTTCATTGATATATTTATTTTACATTTTATTCACTTAAATAAAAAACAAAAGACTTAAAAAAAATAGCTTCCCTGATGGCCACAACTTACCAAAAGGTAAAAGTCTGAGCACTGTTTGTGTTCCTAAACACACCTGTCCCCTTTAATCGATCTCCAACCCTGTCACCCAGGCTGTAACCCAGGCCCTTAAGTGCTGATCTGAATGCTTCTTGGTTTTTTCACCTCATCTCTGTGAATCATTAACGCTTGCCCTGGGTGCAGCCTCGCCTTTCCCTGGGTGCAGCCTCGCCTTTCCCTGGCGTCTGTTCTCGCTGCTTTATAACGGGGATAATCTTTAGGTGCATACAATGACCACAATGGGCACTGGCTTACCATGGCTTCCCTGCCCCTCCCTTGTCTTCAGGATAAAGACCACACTCTTCACTGAGAGGCAAATCCTACAGCAATTGACACTGCCTGCACTGGTAGCTCCTCCATCTGCACGAGCCATGTGTCAAGAGCTCTTGCCTCCCCTTCCACCAGGTTCTTTCTTGCACAGAGGTGCTTTGCCTGAGAGATACTTTCTTCTTTATTAAGTCAGCTCCTCCTCACATAAGCCAATGCTGCCATCTTTTTCCTGTCACGTTTTATTTCTCAAGAACATGTATCAATTTTGTAACTCTATAACTGATTATAGTAATTGATATCTGTCTCTCCTACTGAAAGGTAATATCAATGGGGCAGGAACTGCTTTTCCCTTGAGCTTAACAAAAGGTTTTGCATACCATAGTTGTTCGATTATCATGTGGTGAATTAATGAATGAGTTAATGTTCCTTCATAGTATGCTAGAAACTGTGGCTTAAATTAGATTACTTTATTGTATGTATGTATGTATGTATGTATGTATGCATGTATGTTTGTACATATGTATTTAAAAACTGGTGAGAAGCCAGAAACCTAACTTTTGGCTTTTTACAAAGGATTTCTGGCCCCGAGTTTCCCCATCACCAGGTGTTCTGAATCTGTTGCTTCAGTCCCCAGCATTCTTCCTGTTTTTCACTGTCTTTCCTGGGCCTTGAATGCCCAAGCACAGTGCTGCTTTGGGGCCTTTGGACTCTGGTTTCCTGGCCGCAGCTTTCTTCTCACGAGCCCACATGTTCACAGGGCCTTCCACACTGAAAAGTTCTAGCTCCCCCTGCCATCTTTCAGGGAAGCTTTTTCCAACACCTCAGTGGAGAGCACCCTCCTTGCACTGTAAACTATATATTTGTTTTGCTTTTTCATAACATTTTCTCTTATCAGAAGCAATTTTGTCTCCTCTTTGAATTTACCCTCTCCCAGCACTAGATTCTGAATTCCATGTGGTCCAGCACATCTTGGCTACAGCTCTGAGCATGGCGTCCAGAACTTGGGTATATAGGAGGCAGTTGGCAAATGTAATTGAATGACTAGACTTCACGTTGGACTTTTCTCTTCTGTATATGACAGTGTTGTCTAATAGTTGGCAAGTCTGCACTATTTCAATACCTGCTAGCCATATGTATCTGTGGGTTACTTAAAAATGTGGTTAATGTGACTGACGAATTCAAATTTTAGTTTAAACAGCTGTTCTGACCAAGCTTTATCATAATGGCTGCTGCAGCTAAACGGAACCTACTTGAGGTTGGAGGAGGCAGGTGTCTCTCAGGCCTGTTCGAAGTAGGTGTCATCCCGGTTTCCTCCCAAGCTAGGGCAAGCCAGGAACCTCTGGGGTCAGCTTTTGTCTTACTTGAGGTAAGCTATTCTGATTTGTCGCGGTGGTGGTGTTAGGATTACATTAGGCTAAGGATCTGTAGCCTGTACCTGCATGGCACTTTGCTCCAGTGTAACATTGGTCTCATGTGTGAATATGTGTGTTTTATACATAACTGTTGAACTTTGGGAGGTTTGGAAGTAATGGAGACCAGCAGGCAGTTAGGTCCTTCCTATTTGCTGAAACTATGCTTTGGTAAGAGGCAGAAAAAAAAATCTTTTGTAATAAAATGACCACAGAGGTCTCCCTTTAGATCTTGCCTTCTGACTCCCTTCTCCCGAACTCAAAGACTATCATTTCTGACATTATCGTTTGCTGGTTTCTTTACAAGCAATGCTTACTTTTTCTGGCTTGGTGCTGAGCCTGGAGAAATGCATTAAAACCTGGCAGCCCTGTTCTCCCCATCTCTGGGTGCCTCAGGGCTCCTGCCAGCGGTGCCCAGTTAAAAACGTGCTTCTGGATGGTTTCACTAGCCCGCAGTCCAGCGTGCGATAGCTCATTACCACCCGCTTCATCGCTGCTGCCAGCCACTCTTCAGCATGCCTTCCCCTTCCCCACCCCAGGGATCATGGACTTGCATGACATTTAAAATAAATAAACTCAGACCTAAAATTTACTTCCCGCATCTCCATCCTAGGAATCCGGTAGCAACGCATAAAGACAGAGTCCAGAGAAGCGCGCCTGTCAGGTCCCCTCCCCACAAGCCCCATGGCCGAGCAACCCAACGATCTGGCCCCGCATCACTCCAGGTGGCAATCCCACCGAACCCCCAATCACTCTTTCAGCCTGGCTGCCGCTGACGACCCGAGCGAGGGAGCGGCGAGGCTGCGAGGCCTGGCTGGAAAGGGCACTCTCGCGCGGGGCACCGTCGCGGTTCGGGGCCACAGGCGGGCGGGTTTCCAGGACAAGCGCTGGCCGCCAGGATTGCGGGGCGGCGGGCCCCGAGGGGCGCGGGGAGCAGCTGGCGCAGACAAAGAACGTCGCAGTCCCCGCCGCCCTCGGCTTCCCCGCGCGTTTTCGCAGAACCAGTAGCCGTGAGCCTCCGGCTCCCGCTCCCCGGAGCATCCCGTCGGTCCCGGGCTGCTCACAGTTCGCGCAGCGGCCGGGCAGCCTTGCCCTTCTGGCCGAGCGTGGCGTGGGCCGGAGACTCGCGTGTGCGCGGGGCGCAGCCCGCCGTGCTGGCGAGCCCGAGGGGGCGGGGACCGGCGCGGGGGCGGGGGCGCGGCTGGGACACGTGTGGCGACGGCAGGGGGAGGGGGACGGCGGCGGCGGAGGGGGCGGTGCTCGGGGCTTTAAGAAGGTGCGGAGGGGGCGGGCGCTTTCCCAAGCCCGGCCGTGGGGCATTGCGTGCACACCGGCGGCGGCGGCGGCGCACGGAGGCGGACGACGCGCTCTCGGCGCCCGCGGCCCCAGTCCGCCCCGCGCTCTCGCTCCCGCGGCCCAAAGTAACTTCGGGAGCCTCGGTCTCCCGCCAACTCCCCCCCTCCCCCGCCCTCCGCGGGCTCGGTTGCCCAGAGCCGCTCTGCTCGAGCCCGCCGCCGGCTCGCCTTCCCCGCGCGCGGCTCCTCCGTGCCGGTGTCTCCGAAAGTGGATGAGAGAGCGCGCGGGGCGCGCGGCGGCACGGAGCGCGACGGCATGGAGCGCGGCTGCTGGGCGCCGCGGACTCTCGTCCTGGCGGTGCTGCTGCTGCTGCTGGCGACGCTGAGGGCGCGCGCGGCCACGGGGTACTACCCGCGCTTCTCTCCCTTCTTTTTCCTGTGCACCCACCACGGGGAGCTGGAAGGGGATGGGGAGCAGGGCGAGGTGCTCATTTCCCTGCACATTGCGGGCAACCCCACCTACTACGTACCGGGACAGGAATACCATGGTAGGTACCACGGCATCCCTACGGCACCACGGTGTCCCACGAGCACATCTTTCCATCATCTTCCTTCTTCCCAGGGGCCAGCCGGCCGGAGACAGGGACAAGTTCCTACCTCAGCAGGGTGCGCTGCCTGGGGAGAGAGAACAAAGTTAGTGGAGAATGGAGTCCTAGTTGAGATTTCAACTGTCCCCTGATGCATCGCGGGACAGGTCATACAAGCTTTGGGCACTGCTGTCTTTCCCCTCTCCCTGCCGTTGCCAAACCTGCGCATCGTGTTTTCCTAACCCCAGTACTTAGATACCAGACTTTTGTCCTGTTCTGGGTCCCCCTTGGTGGGTCCCCAGGTGGCGATGGGGTTGTCTTTGGGCTTTGCAGGCCAGCTGCCAACAGATTTGAGCGCTTTGGTCAGTGGCTGCCCATGCCGGCAGCCAGCTAAAAGTTACCCCTGCTTTGCAGCCAGCAATCCTCAAGAAACAGAGCGGCTGTTTCCAGCCCTTTTTACTTTTAAAATATCAGTGGTTGATGATTTCTGTCACTCCCTTCATACTTTTAGCTTGGTGCTTGCTGTTGTTAGCATTGTCTGGGTGATGCTTACTATAATGACGTGTATTTGCACAGCTTTAAGTCCCTGATAGGAGCTACAAGCTACTCACCAAAAATCCCATCAATTTCCAAAGGGATCAGTATGCAGTCCTTCCTTGAGGTTAAAATATTACTCAAAAATGAAATTTAGCTACAAGAAGAGTAATTTTTATGTAGTATGCAGTCCTTCATTGAGGTTAAAACATTACTCAAAAATAAAAATTAGCTACAAGAAGAGCAATTTAATGTAGTACATATACTTTTAATCAAGTGGAATATGTGGGGAGATAAAACATGCTTACTTTCTGTCTTCATAGAGGACTTCTTAAACAATGATAGAAAATGTTAAATTGGAAAATTTCCACAAAATATTTATACCCAATGAAATAAACTATCATTGAGGGAACTCATGCCATCCCATAGATGCTGTCTGTAATAGGCTACAGGTGTTGGCAGAGCAGAAGGTGATGTATGGGTGGCTGGCATTTCACATAGATTTGGAAGTGAAAAATTTACAAAAATACTTCAGAGTTTTCCATTTCAATAAAACCTTCCTATCTACCCCTAAATACTCTGACTGAATATGTTCATCCTAGATATTTAAACCAGTGCTTTAACAACTTTCTGATGGAGTGGTGGCAGCCTTGTTCCTGGAATTTTATAATTTAATTTCAGGAAATTAATCTCTGTTACTAGTCTTTTAAATAAAAGGGCTTGCTTATATGTGTTCCTTTTCTGAGAGGAATCTGGTGATTTTTCTGAGGTCATGGACATCTTTGAAGTAGAAGGAACAGCCAGTATGATGACAACTTGGACCTAACTCACAGACTGATAGAGACAGTTGTTGCTTGGTGTGCCCTTTAGCAGATGTGCTAGCCCATTTCCTGTGAGTGAAGGCTGGTCTAAAAGGTGCTGCTGTCGGGTTGTGATGGGATCTCTGATGACAAAGCCGTATTATCCCCACTACACAGATCTCTGTACAGCACTGGTCAAGAAAGCATAAATGAAACTATGAATAACCATCACAGCTTTTGTTTTTGCTGTAAAGTTAGCAGATGAACCTCAGCCTGACTGCAGCCATGTCACTGATCCTGAAAAGAGGTGAATGCATTATTTTAGATTGGACATTGTAGGGAACAGGTCCCCAGAACCTCTTTTATTCCATCAGAAAAGATGGAGGGATTTTATCATGTAACGTGAAAGGTCAAATTATTAGAGAGTAATACCATTTTAAATTCTTAAATGCTGTCTCAAAGTTTTAGCTTTCGGAACCAGCTATATGACTCTAGGCCTTCCGTGAGTGTTTTTCCTATAAAATGCTCTATAGGTAGGAGAAGTGCTTAAAACTGCAATTAGACATATAGATGGCTTTTTATTATTAAACCGATGGAAATGAAAAAATAGCATCTGTAAGAATTGACTCACTATAGGAGAACATAATAAATACATTTGTGGTTGACTCATTTTGATGAATGTTGAAAGCAGGAGGTCATTTGGACAAAAAGCCTACTTATGTGAGGAAATCTGTAAAATTGACTTGAGAATCTCTAGCCTCCTCAATCTTTTAAATGTAGCACTTATGTCAGGAAAAACAAATTTGTCTTAGATTTCCACCGAACTTAGGGATTTGGATGAATGGCATTTGGATGGAGAGCTGATAGTTTTGAGGTTCCCCCCTTTTTCCTTTCCCCCTAAAGACTGTGTTGAGACAGGGCTGGTGTGTAGAACGGCACACACCATAGACCATTAATGGAGATATCAGCTGCTCTCTGAGGTTTGGGTTGTGTGGTAGTGTATAATACAAGTGGTCCAAAGTTATGAGTTTTTGTGTGAATTATATTTATTTAAGATCTGTGTTGAAAATCTTTGATAAAATGAAGGCAGTAATACAATGCTAAAGAGTCTAAGCCTGTGACAGAAATGTTAAGATTTCTAACTAAGTAGTAAATCTGTTTATTTAATGAGCTTCTATCTCATAACAAAGGGTGGCAGTCAGTATCTCCTTCCTATGTGCTTTAAATTCTGTTACACAAGGAAGGCTCCTTATGGCATTGTTAGTCATCGACATGCTATAATCTCTTCTCAAGGATGCCCCACAGGACATAGTTGAGCAAAGGTACCACATACTTATTGTTGAATTAGAAAGACCTCAGAATTTGAATGCTTTAATTTTCTAGAATTTCTCTTTTGGGGGAGCACAAGTCCAAAGATATGCTAAACTTCTCAATGGGATTTCCACAATTCAAATCATAGACTTTTTTTTTTTGTAAATTCCCAAACAATTGGAAAAAGGAAATGGGCATCTAGGTGGTCCACTCACAAGATCAGAGCCATCTCTCTTCCCTGCCATGCCCAGGGATGTTCTGCTTTTTTTAGGACCAGCTCAGTTCTGTGAGACCTGTGAGGGTTGAGTTGAAGTCTGCACCCTGCTCCCTGTGCTCATCCTCTTCCTCACAAACAGCCGGAGGTATACAATTACCATGTGTTCCGAACCGGCCCTTCCTGTCATCCAGTTAATTTACAGAGAATTGTTAACGTTAATTTTTTTCCAGTTTTACTTCAGAAAAATGTTTATTCCTTGTCTTGGGAGAGCTAATATCTCTGGAAAAACAGATAATTTGCTTTGGGACAGAAAGCCTTTTAGACATCTTGGAATTCATGTCAGATAGGAACCTGCCCACCATGTAACAGACTTTACGCTGTCACCATTGTGAAGGTAGGTGTTCTCCAAGAGCATTGTAGAGCAAAGCCATAGGCACCTGAGTCTGCCCCAGTACTTCAGCTTTCAGAAGGCAATCTACCATGATGTGGAAATGGGCTAGAATCCCTGTTATTTTGGTAGCATAAAGATAGAAGAAATATTTCATTAGCTATGAGAAATAGGCTCAGAAATACCCAGCTGAAAGGAAACCAGCAATAAGAACTTGTCTGTAGTAAAATCAAATTGGCGATAATGGAAAAGGAGCATTTTTCTGCATTCTGTTGACTTAACACCACTCTTAGGGGTTTTTTATTCCATTTTTCCACTCCATCATTTTTTCACAAGCGATGTGGGGAAGGCAGGAGACTCAATTTCCTACAGCCCAAACTGAACACTCTCCTTTAAATCATAGAATCAGGACGTGCCAAGGCACCTTTGTTATAATAATTTTTAGCTTTTGTAATAGCTTCTGTAGGTAAATGTGCTCAGTGTTCAACTGGTTGCTATTCAAAATTTCATTTTCAAAGAAAGCACAGTGTAGTGGTCTTTCAAGCACAGAATACAGTCTTTCTAAGACATATTTTGAAAATACACACGAGACTTAGTTCCCTTTAAGGGAATGACGTTACCATTTGAATGAAAGTAATCTCTGATTGCTGATGTAACTATTGTTGATTGGTGTGTGGCCATTTTTTTCTTGTTAGGTTTTAGAGTCTGGAATCAGCACAAACTGTTAAACTCGTTCATCACATGCAGTTTCTAAGTGAAGTGCACCTGCGTCCTGTGCACATATGTCTGTGCAAATGGAGTGTTTTAAAGCATTCTATTTTACTTGTTACATATTTTATCTTACTCTCTGCAGTTTATTCCACTCATATTTTACTGATGTGGTTCATATTTTTTAAAATCATATAAATCTTGCTTTGTACAATTTATATTCTGTGTGTTTTTGTTCTAGTCTCAAGCTGAAAAAAAAAAGCGCAGGTGTTTGGATGCTAATGTAAAGCATCTCACTGAGTCAGAACCCCAGTCCATTCATGCTGCCACAGTACTAGAACTTATTTTCTTAGAATAATTCCCTTCATTTTGTGAATGTTTATTTTGAATGACTGTTTTATTTAGATGTTAAAAAAATAATACCTCTATAGTTATAAACTGCCTTACTCCAGTTAAAAAAAATTAAAAGAATGTTGGATATTTTAACAGGTTTCTCAAATATCTACAAGTGGATTCCAGACTTTCCACGGACTGATACAGTTAAAAGAAAACATTTCAAAGTGATTTGTAAATTTCTTTTCCTATTCTTGAGAGTTGGCCAACTTCCTATGTTGGTCCATAAGCCTTGCCAGTTACTTTGAAAGATTACACATTAGGCCACAAGTTTATTCTGATAATCTATAATGCTACTTTGGATAATTGTTAATTATAATTAATTGTACTTGTTACATCTTTAATCTCCCTAACCAGTTGCTGAGGTACAACCTTTCACTTCAGAGAAGGTTTGCATTTGAAAATCATGAACTGAGTGACCAGCATTTTGTGAACATTTGGAATTTAAAAGATTTGTAAAGACCCGTATGTTTTGCAGAAACAGAATAATTGGGCTTCTGTCCACTCAGTCCAGACAAGAAAGAGGGTGTGTAAAGACTGAGTGTGGTAAGATCCTATGAGCAGAGGGAAGGGCTCATGCTCAAGTCACAATAAAGCATCTAGTAAAGGA